AACAATGAGGACGTATAACACCTAGGGCAGAGCTTGAACGGCTGCAAAGAGCATCAAGATGGTAATACCAAGAGAGACGATCATCAAACACTATTCCCAGATGTTTATGGTTGGAAACAACCTTTATGGGTTCTGGGAAATCAGGATGGTGTAAAAGTGACATGGATGAGATTGGGAGAAGGAACATTATTTCGGTTTTAGTCAGGTTGGGTCTAAGTCGCCATGTTTGCATGCAGCGTAGGACACTGCATATCTGAGCCGACACTCGAGGTACAAGAGCCGCTGAGGACGAGGATGCTGACAGGAGGGTTGTATCATCAGCAAATAACGAGACACCTGGGTCTATAGAGGGTAATTTTACGTTTGCTAAGAATATAAGAGGTCCAAGTATGGAGCCTTGGGGAACTCCAGAAGACACTGGTAGGGGATCAGAATTGATGGAGAGGGCAGAAACAAACTGTGATCGGTTACTTAGATATGACTCCAGCCAGGACAGAGCAGGGCCAGACACACCAAAGACAATATGTAGCTTGGCAAGGAGGCCATGATGCCAGACAGTATCAAATGCCTTTGCCAAGTCAAAGAAACAGAGAGCAGTATGGTGTCGAGCATCACGAAGGGTGGCAATGTCTTGTACTAGACGAGCTAGTTGGTCAGAGGTTGAGTCGTTGCGGCGAAAGCCAGATTGGGAAGGGCTAAGGCATGGTGAAATGTGGCAATACAACTGGTCATAAAATATCTTTTCACATACTTTTGAAAGGGAACAGAGAAGAGATTGGACGGTAGTTTGAGGCTTGTGATCGGGAGCCTTTACACTTGTAGATGGGAGTGAGTGACCTTAGCGATCTTCCAACGATCAGGAAATACGCCGGAGGAGTAGGAAAGGTTGAATATAAGGCACAGTGGGTACGCCAGAGATGGAGCCAGAACTTTGAGAACTTCGTTTAGTAGGGCATCGGGACCAGGGCTTTTGTTGCTTTTTAGTCTTTTTAGATAGCTGCGAACAGATGATGTGGTGGTATGTACAGAGCGCAGATCAGGAGACACAGCCGCAGAACGTTGTACAGGTGGTAGAGGAATGGTCGTCTGGAATACCAGCTGATGTGAATTGCGTATTGAGAGTATTAGCTGCAGACTTGGGGTCAGTCACCATCGAACCATTGGAAGCTAATAACGGAGGTATGTCTTGACGTGTACCAGTTGTCCTTTGAGTGCGAACAAAGGTATACAGGTTAGGCCTGGAAGAGGGGTGAGATAGGGTGGTAGTGAGCAAACGTAAATATGCTCAATACTTAGAACGTGACAATGACTTCACCAGATTGCGCTGTTTTTTTTTGTACAAAGAAATATTAGCATAGGTGGAGTACTTCTTGCTTAAGCTGTAGTAGTCGTATTTGAGTTTAATTGTACCTTGGAGATCTTTGTCGAGCCAAGGAATCTTGGGGTTACGTTGAATGGTGTAATCCCAGCACACGTTGCTATGTCTAAGGGGCCGTCCGTAATTACATGCATTTACTTAGAGACATCTAACAGGCGTTTCTGGTGGGTGGGTTCGCCCGCAAGGCGTTTCTAAAAATACATTTCGGAGTGCATGCACACCATACCGCACGTGTATGTACATGTACATGATACAGCGCTGCTACAGCTAGTAGTAGTGCAGGTAGGCGTTGAGACGCACTACGCTGCACTGCACGGGTCACGGCAGAGTGGCCAGGGGGACAGGGAGACTGTTCGCTATTAGGGCGCGCTCACACTGCGACCGAAACCAGCGTCCATGCGGCCAAGTTGCATGGCAACGGCATGAACTTGACCAAAACGTCGCGGCCACGTTTCAAATCGTGACTGCGACCTTTGGAGGGGGGTGCCACAACTTGGCGGCAACATGATCGTAGACGTGAAGCGTATTTGTGTACAACCTGGCCTGAAGTATGTTCAATTTCTCAAATTCCGGTGTGTTGATTCTTAATTTCGTAGTTGCGGTCCTGCATGCACGCACCGCCATATATGCATTCTTTGCCCTTTTGGACGATGTCAATTTTTTTAGTTGCTTTGTTGTCAGTTGATCAGGTCAGTGACCAATTTCTACAGTGTACTCGTTCAATACGATGGCAGCTTGGTCTGGCTTTTCGGTTTGGGAAATCATCTTTCTCTACTTTTCTGCGATGATGGAATGCCATACCTCAAGACCTTTCAGTTACATATCATCGGAAAATACAGTTATCATCTCGGCAACAGACAAAAGAAACCACTACCGGAATTTCCACTGCGCTGGCACTTACTCTGACCACGAGGTCAGGAAAGCGAAAGCGCTTGAATGTCAGCGGCAGCCCCTCAAGAGTCCAAACCTACATGATTGTATGAATTATTTTCGTCGACTTCAAGAATACAAGCCACGAGGCACTTCCTCCAAAATGCAACATGCGAAAAATTATATCCAAAACGGGCCACAACTTTATTAGGAAACGCACGAACTCTTTAGGATACGAACTGCAATTCGTAAAGTTTGTGTGACAACTTCACGTCTGCGCGTGTACGAGTCCTAGCGTGAGCACGACTGCCATGTTTCTGCGTTTTGCTGACGCATGGACGCGTGCTCATGTTCGCAGTGTGAGCGTGCCCTAAAGAGTCAATTTTTGTATGGGTTCAAACAAGGACATGGACAAGGGTTCGCTAAACTATAAGCCTATATCACGAAATTCGCTATGCGAGTT